AACAACTGCAGATTTTGAATCCAGCTTTCTTTTTTATTCATGAAAAACACACACTGCAAGTTACTTCCCTCCAAAAAAAAAAAAAAAAGTTAAATTAACAACTGCAGATTTTGAATCCAGCTTTCTTCTTTATTCATGAAAACTACACACTGCAAGTTACTTCCCTCCAATTACCCAGAGGCTGATTTTGTGTTAAATCTTTGCAGAAATGTGAATAGCTTAATTTTTTTTATTACAGTTGTCTTTGTTTTCCATAAAACCTAAGTTTTTGCTTCAAAAAAGACTACTGAGGCAAAGAAAACCAGAACCATTGAACAAGTCACGTTAGAAGCTTTGCAACTGCAGTGTTAATAGTTGCTTTAAAAACATACCCCTGGAACAAAATTGCATTAATATTATATCATCAACCTATTTCCTCCCCCCACCAAACCAAGATTTTTCTTGCAAAGAAGTTATCATCCAGATTCTGGTTAGTTTATTATTATTATTATTATTATTATTATTATTATTATTATTATTATTATTTAATTCTGTGAAGTTTGGTTTTCACAGAACTAAAACCTCCTAGATGATAACACTGAGCATCTTTCCTTCTTACTGTGTATTTATTAACTTCAAATGAGAAAGCTTTTGGATTCAGATTTTTCACTAATTGATGTTCATAAAATTTTAGTAATGTAGAACTTAGTAAAGTAGAATTTAGTAATTTTAGTAAAGTAGAGTTTAGTAATGTTACAGGTTTTACGAGCTAAGACGTGGTTTCTTCTTGGGCGATGTTTCATCTCCTTCATCTTTTTCTTCATCATCTGGATCATTCTTTAAGCCAACCGTGCTGCTACTGCTCTGGCTACTCGTTTCATTAGCACCACCAGCAGAAGGGGATGAACTGATTTTGTAGCTCCCAGAAGATGTTTTAGGAAGATCTACCTTGTCTTCATTTTCTTTTGGGTTTTTAGTCTCCATAAACTTATCATAAGGATCTGGAAAATCATCTTCCAATGGTGGCATAACTGCTTCTTCTTCCTTTGAATCTTCTTTAATACACATTTTTTCCTTCTTCTCCAAGACTCTGATTCCTCTGCAGAGTATTTGACTATACAGTATAGAATGTAAATTCTTCCGAATTTGATTTTGTTGATCTTTTTCTTCGTCATATCTGATCTTCAATCCTTTGAATGTCTGAACATATTCAATCGATTCAAGTGTTTTATAAAACTTCTCAACTATGTGTATAACAAGAGATTTGATATTTTCCACTCTTATATATTCAAACAGCTCAATAACAGCTGAATTCAACATATTGTACCGAGTCCCGTTTTTCAGAAAAGCATTTACAACTGGCTCAAAAAGATTTCCCTTGATGATGTAATAATTATAAAGTTCATCTTTAAGGCCAATAATCCCTCTCATAAAGCGAAGAGCAGACAGAGTCAGGAAAGTGTGCTTTGAACTCATCAAGATCAAGACTCTTCTTAGCAAGTCATTGCTCAAAATACAGTTTTTTATGTAATATGTGTGATGTTGCACACAAAATGTGAGCAGCTCCAAAATTAAAGAAAGCAGCCCTGCTGTTTGATAATTATTGGGGCTGTTTTTGTCAGCTCCAAATACATTATCCCCTTCACATATATTTTCTGAAGTGATGGCAAAAAGTGGTGCTATGAAGTTCGGTATACAATGCTTGTAGAAGAAATATAGAAACTCACTTCTTTCGCATTTACTAGGTGTTGATAGCATATTTTCAGGATGGATTAGAGCACGAAGAAATTCCATTAAATGAATAGCACCTTCCAGCTCAGGATCAGTGTCACAGATCATTTGCTCACTTATTAAGTTAATGAAAAGTTTACCATCTACACTCTGCTGGGCTTCTTCCATTATAAATTCTCGGATCATGGATGGACTACACTCTACTAGATAAGTAAGTATATCGGTAGCAGCTGATCGTATCTGCAAATCCTTCCTGCTCATCACGGTTTTCAGAAGAGGAAGAATTCCCAAATGCATCAATGTTTTGAAGAGGGCATCCTTGTTCGGAGGCTGTAATGTCTGCGAAAATTTACAGAATTCCTTGAAGAAAAATAGCAACTCGCGCTGTTTATCATCATCTATAGTCTCGTTCCTTAGCTGCACAAAAACTTCAGACAAAAAGTTGTCATCTTCGTGCAGCATGCGGACTATCTCGACCTTGTTGAGGAAAATAAAAGTTGTAAGAGTAGAAAGAAAATTCTCTTCAAACAAGGATGGTATCGGCATAAGGATGTCGTGAATGTACTGTACCCTATAGGTCTGATGTATCTTTTGCGTAAGTTCACAGTTCATTATTGGTACAACTTCCTTGAACTTCGCATGTTGAGTCAAGAATTCCCTATGCCTTTTCGGCTGAGCCATCGCAGGGTCATATTCGAGGCATCCCACCACATCCATGATACACTCATCAGAAAACATGATCTCAAACAGAGATGTCTTGTTAAGGAATAAGATGCCTTTAATAATTTCATACAAATGGTGTAAACCTTCAGTGTCCCCTTGGTCTTCACAAGTGTGGAACAGCTGCAGCAAATTTTTAATATAGTTCCCATTTTCTAAGATCAGAGCCAGTCTTTCCTTATGGATAGGTAAAGGTAAAGCGAGAATCGAGGAAACAAAGTCATCAATATCTTCAAGATTACCGAGTTCACAGCTAGGCAAGTCAAACACATCAGCAGTTTCGAATATGTCATCAAACTGATCTGATTCATCTAAGAGGTCTTGTGTGATACGGACAGATGGATCTTTACCTTGAACTCGGCAAATGTCTTCCCAGATCTGCTGACAACCTTCGGCATCCTGGAAACTTAAAGCCATACCGTGGCCCTCCGCTTCTGACCAAACAATCAGCGTTTCCTGTTGCCTCTGGTACGGCGCATTTGAATTGATCTTCGACTCCAGGATTAGCGCCTCACTGGAATCCGACTGAACTAGCAGACATACGCTCTGGAGGTGCTCCACGTAAGCCGAAGAGATGTGCCCGGTGCCTAGGTAATCCCATTGTTGATCTCGGTTCAGGGAGTAGAGTTTCACACGACACTTGTCCGCCATGGCGCTTTCTGCCATCTTCTCGGCAGCGGTGGCGTCCGTGTGTGAGGTGGCTGGCTCGCGCCTGCCCAGAATCAACGGCTATTGCCGTCGTTGGAGCAGCGACGACGGTAGCCGAGGTGGCGGGTTAGGAAAATCACAGTAGAAGATGGCGGAGAAATAGCGGTCGCGAAGCTGGCAGTTACGGAGGTCTGTAGTGTTCGGAGTCCTGCCTCCTCTCGCTTTCATCTTATGTTCGCCTTTCTCCGTTTTGTTCTCGCATATTTCTTCTTAATGTGGGTTTAAATCGTGAGTCTGCTCACGGTCGTCTAGGAAAGCCTCGATTATGACAGTATTCTTACCATTCTCCCAGGATTATACCCCAAAGGAACGTTCTGTACGTGTCGAGGCAGTTGCCCCCAATACTATGTAGAGGCTTAGTGATTAGAGCAAAGCACTGTTCTAGCATAAAAGCTTTCGTCCCTCAGAAACATTTTCACTTACCAGGTGTGCGGGGATTTAGGACTTGAGACAAAAGAAAGTTAATCGCTTATGTCCTGACCAGTTCAACACCTGACATCAGTGTTGAGGCTCCCGCCCCACCCCCGACTCCCGACCCCAGAACAGAAGCGGGAGCCAAGTGAAGTGTACCCCATTAACAATAATCAGAGATCTGTAGGTGCGTCTTCTCCATAAGGCTTGGCCTATGTATCTGTCATTCACTTACTGCCCCCCCCCGCCCCCCCGCCCTGGGGGGAGGAGGATCTTGTTCCCAGATGGAGTTGGTTGGCAACTCTTTTACTCTGTTCAGTTCGGCCTAAAGCGCCGCCGTCTTTGGCGCAATGGGAAAAACTTTTTCCAATCTATAACCCCACTCCTCGTTCTTAGAGGAATGGGCCAGAGGGAAACTGGGTTGAAATTAGCTAAGAGTGAGTAATGAACATCACAGGTCAATTGTTTCAGTTCTTTTCTTGATCGTTATAGTGATAAGAACCACAAGTACGTAATATTACTTGAGGGCTTATTGTTATTACCAAGAAAGGTAATAACATAATTGATCAAATATAGCACTTTAGTACTTATTATGTTCAAGACACTGTGACAAGAACTTTTATATCTTTTTGTACTTAATTTTCATAATCACCTAGTGATATAGGAGTCTTAAGGGTCCTTCTAAGATCAGGGAGAAAACTTAGAGAAGTTAAATAAATCGCCAAAGGTCACACTCCTAATAAGTTGAGAAACTCTGATTTGAATACATGTCTTTCTGATTCCAAAATTGGTTTTCTCAGCCATTGAACTATGCTAGCCCCTTCTTTTCTTGGCCTTCATTACATTTTATTTCACATTCCTTCCATCTATATAATTTGTAATCAACATAAAATTATCGAGACGATGAAAGTCACGCACTTCCTTCTTTAGATCCACATCTGTGTATAGCCAACCAAAAAATAGAAGCTTGTATATGGGAACTTTGTTAAATATAATTTTAATGGTAACCAAGTTGATTTTTGATGTAGCAGCAACTTCTGCAGTTTTCTTTAATTTTTTTTTCCCAAACATTAACCCTGTTATTGCAAGGGAAAAACGGAATTGGGCCATATCAAGCACATTTGGATTTGATGAGTACTGTTTGTAACGGTCACTTCATTTTACATGGCATTGGAAATGCGTGACAGTTCTTAAGTGGAGCACAGAAAAAAACGCTTTCACATACCTCTCTTGCAGTGTCGCCTCTAGGAGATTATAGTACAGCATTATTCCCTGGGACAGGACAGCCAGAACACTTGGAAAATAGAATGGAAATGACAATCATTTCATGAGAAAATTCAAATCAATGCCAGCCAGGATACTGCTGGTTTAGAAACCTTTACAAATCATTAATAATACTTAAACATAAGAATTAATAAGTGCCTAATACAAACACTGATATATGTACTCACTAGTTTAAAATTCCTGTCTGATTTCAACGAGAGAATATGCAAATCGTAATAACAATCATAACATGCATGCTAATGGTCCATTTTTTTTTCCTCTGCCATGGTTATATTAAAGTTTCTATTGGAATCAATTATAATACTGTCAGTTGTCTGAATATGCCCTCAGGTTTCATTCTCTGAGAGGCATTCTGCACAAACCTATGTGTTCTCACAATTTTATCACAGGGAGTTTCCCTTAGGCCAATTAAGGCCCCTTTATCTTAATTAGGTTAACGAGAATCTCTTTACAGTCTAAAAGAGCCTCAAGTCCAAATTTCTTACTGCTATTTCTGCACTAGATTCTTTCAGTTCCTGTCTTATTTGGTTTGGGAAGTAGAACAAAGCCCTTTTTTTTTGCTCCAGTAGTTCTAGCTACCTAAGATTATCATTATTTTGTTGTTTTACAGAGAGGACGGTGATATGCATAAACAAATGCCATATTCTAAGAGCTGCATAAGTCTCTTTTATAGGCATTATTTATATTTTATTTAACCCTCAGACAGTAGTAGCCTGAGGAAGATATTACTACCATATTACAGAGGAAAAACACTTGAAACTCCAAAGCTGAATCATACATCTGGTTTAGACTCTGCTGTAAATGATATTGCTGGGATTTGAAAGTAGGCCTGTATCCTTCCAACCCTCCACTTTACCAGTCCCAAAATGCACAGCGTTCTCTTAGGCTATGCATAAATTATTATAGCAGATATTTGTAATAATTGTGATTTTTTTTAATCCCAACTATCACTGCTATTTGATTTTTCTCTGTTTTATTTTGTGAAGGAAAATCATTGAAGCCAGTTCAAACTTAAAATAGATTTAGGGGCGCCTGGGTGGCTCAGTCAGTTAAGTGTCCAACTTCGGCTCAGGTCATGATCTTGTGGTCCATGAGTTCGAGCCCCGCGTTGGGCTCTGTGCTGAAAGCTCAGAGCCTGGAGCCTGCTTCAGATTCTGTGTCTCCCTCTCTCTCTGCCTGTCCCCTGCTCACTCACTCTCTCTCTCTCTCTCTCTGTCTCTCAAAAATAAATAAACATTAAAAAAATTTTTAAAAATAGGTAGATTTAATGTTAAGACTCTGGATCCCTCTTCTGTTTCAGATGCCTGTCTCTCTCATATTCCTCCCCGTGACCTGAAGGTAGTAAGAAGTAGTTCTTGATGACTCTGCCCTGAAAATAGTTTTAGATAGGGATCTTGTAATTCATCCATATTTTATGAGTACTAAGAGCTTAAATTTTATATTTCTCCTAGTTATTTTAGAAAATGATAAAGGAATGAGTCTACATTTCTGAATTTTAGGATAGGCCACATGTATATATGTAGAACATTTAGATATCTAGATATTCTATCTATAAGAAGAGAGTACATTTCACCGTGAGAAGAGCAAGGTGATTTTTAATTTTATGAAATAGCATTAAAATAGAATTTTTCAAATGTATCTGCTCTAAAATTTTCAACTTCAAAACCGTTAGTGAAAAAAAAAAAACAAAACAAAACACATGCATGTTCTCTACAAGTTCCCCAGGTAACTTATTCACTGGCATGTTGCCTTTTTTTGGCTACTATCATCTCTGATTTGGAAATCTGTAATAGTCTCCCCTGGATTCTGCCTTTTCCTCCAATTACTAGATTCTCAACACAGTAGCTGGAGAAGACTCATTTAAAACATACTGTATTCCCCTCCTCCTCTCCTGAAAATCAGTGTGTTTCTGCCTTACTTAGAATAAAAGCCAAAGTTCTAACTATGGTTTATGAGTCCTGGCCCCCTTGACCTATCTGAGCTCTTCCCTTAATAGTTAGTCTCTGTCTCCCTTAGTTTGGTCCAGCCACAGTAGCCATCTTACTCTGTCAGAAGCATACCATGCACACTCCTGCCACAGGGCCTTTGCACCTGTCCTTTCTTCTACTTGGAACACTGGTTCTCAATATCTACAGGCTCACACCCTCACTTCATTAAACAATTTACTCAAATGCCCCTTTCTTCCAGTGAGACCTTCCCTAAGCACCTTTTTAAAATTGCAGAGACCCTCTACCCTAACCCATCCATCTGTTTACTTTGATATATCTTTTCTCCATATCACTTAGCATCATCTGAATATTTTGTACTTCATTTATTCCATTTTCTGCAACCAGACTGTCAGCTGTTTGAGAGCTATGATTTATCTGGTCTTTTTTCTCACTGCTGTGTGCCTAGTGTGCTACTATATCAGCCATAGGGCGTGATATAGTAGTTTCTCAACAATTATTTATTGAATAAATACATAAATGAATACATATTATTTCTAGGATGATTTCCAATAATCCACTTATTTAATCTTCACAAAGTTATGAGTTATGTGTAGGCCCCAGTCCATACATGGGGGATAAAACAATGAATTTGAAATTTATTTCTAGGTCTTTTATGGAATAAATAGTTTTAACCGGAGATATTTCTAGTTTATGGGTTATATCTGGCATTTTCCCTGCTGCCCCAGTCCCACTCTTCTGGATAGTTTTCTTCTCATTGGTGGTGACCAAGGAAGCACTAGTCTCCTGTTTTAGACTTTTAATTGCACGAAAAACTAGTTTCTTGAGCAAGCTGGATGTTTGCCTCCGTGTTGTGTCAAATGTTCCTTCCCCAACCCTGTGCTGAGTCACGGCTTTTCCACCAACTCCCAGGTATTGAAAGAACCTTAATTTTCTAATATTAAAATTTCCACTGCATTTTAAGTTTCTTTTTGATTCATATCTTGTCTACAACAAGTCCATGGCCAAGCCTAGAGTCAAGAGATCAGGACGTATGCCCCCCTAAGCGGGGGTGGGGGGGGGTCATAGCAAAATTACATGGCAAAGGGAGTGGCTGGAAGGAAGGATGCAGCACCGGGGACACTGATGCAGTCTTCCACAAGCTTGAACAAAACAGCTGTAACTCAGAACTTGAATGGGCAAGGAGGTCATGGTCACCCTGTATAAAGAATGTTAGGATGTGTGGCTATTTAAAACCTTTTATTCTCAGCTGCAGACATCATCCTGTAATGTGTGCATGGCAGCAGTACCAGCAATTATCTTCCCAGTGCTCAGAGGTAAGAACCATTTTAAGTATTTTTTGGATCCACAGGCAGTTTCTATTAGCACTAGCACATTTTCCACTGAGTGCTTGGCTTGCTTGGAAGCTTCAAATCTTTTGCTCATACCACATGGAATTAAAGGAGGAAGAAAGTGTTGGTCACTGGTGGGAGTGGGGGGAGCAAATGTTGTTCTCTTGACCTCGTGAACATTTTAGACTTTCAGTGCTGTGTTCTCTTTTTCTTCCGTTCCAATAGTTCTTGTAGACTCTGAGGTTTGT